CTGCATGATTCACTACATCGTACAAGTACAATTTAGCGCTAGTGGAAAACGATATAAGCGCCGTTGCACTTCGGTGACACCCAATGTTGCCATGCTTCGTGATTTCACGTGTGAATGGCAGAAGCCCCCCCCCCGTTTCTCTTGGATGTTCTTCTTCATCTATTGCTCAACTATTTTTCAGAGGCGAACTTGTGTTTCAGGATGAACACCGTCATTACAGTACTTGCGATAGTCGCTGCAGTGGGTGGCCGTCGTCATCATGGACCAAGAGGACCACCGCTACCACCGCCACCATTTTTTCTGGATTATGTTGGTCAAGAGGCCAGACGCGAGTACTACGATATAATGCACAATATGAACATCACCATCGCCGAACAGAAGAGTGAAGTTCTGGACATGGGCAGCAAAGAATAATATCACAGTGAGCATTTTTAGCAAGAATTATCAAAAATTAATCGGTCCCGATTTCCTGTGAGATTATTTATTTCTGGATGGAGTTGATGTAATTTCCATGAAGAACCAAAATGTTTAGGTGTTAGTAGATTTTGGCGGATTCTATGCCTCCCGTCTTCACAAGGCCATAAAATCCTACCAACCAGTTCAGGACACCTCCAATTAGTCCACCTTTGACTTGAATAAACAGGCCTAACACAGCTAAGCCTAAGCCTAAGCCTAAGCCTGACTGAAGCTCAAGAGTAAGCCATTATGTAAGCATTGGTGCTAGGATCAAGCCTAAGGCCAACTTTGGAATGCAGTCACTGCGCAGCTCTGGCTTCCTGATCTATCAGGAAAAGTGAATTGCTTAGCTGATAGAGGCATATAGAAAAGGAGAGTAGGCAAAAATAAGGATTTCGGATCGAGCTATGCGTTTGGGCCTATCTCCTATGACTGATTGTGAGCATGCTTATGATTGACGATGATAGTCGCATCAATGCTCAAATCAACGGGCAAGGAAGGGGTCCCATTTCTCGGGTTCTGGGCCGTTTCTCATGGTTCTTCCTTCTTTCGTGTACCACTCACCATCCTAGGTTAATTTGAAATGGGTTGCCTTTCCAGCGTGAATTCGTCCTTAAGTATACCTTTAATCTGCATTCTGTGGCCCTTTCAACGTTATTACGTCTTCGTGCGCAGGCTTTGTAGCAATAATTAAGTTTTTCTATGCGTAGACTTGTTGCTATTGTTTCCAATTAGCGCTCACTTCGCATTCATCTTTTTATTTGGCTAATTTTTGGACAAACGGTGTTTTAGATAGGAAGGGAGTGCGTGACCCCGAAAAAAGACTGCTCACAGCAGAATACTTTTTATGGTCTACTCCATCTCTAATGCCTCACTCAGTAATAAGACTCCACTAGCCGGTTGAAAGATCCGCTACTTCAAGGATTTTGTCTGGGAATCGTCACTGTTTTCAGAAAATAGTGGAAGAATTCAATGCAAACACGACTAAGATGATGGACGAAACGAAACAAAATGTGACAGCACTGATCACCAAACTGCCAACAGCACTGAATAAGATATTAGAAATATTGAACAATGAAAACCAGACTGTTGTGCAGAAGAACCAGGCTTTGGCCGATATGAACGCTCAGGAGCCGGAGGTTGAACTTTTTTGCTCTTGGTGCTACAATGACTTTACTGAGGAATCGTGGGAATGTGTTCTACCATTTAGGCTTACAGTGTCATTCTTAATGTTTTCGACATGTTCATGCCTTGTGGCTGCGATGATGGAGGGGCCGGTGGACCTGGAGGACCCGGAAGACCTAGAGGGCCCGGTGGACGTGGAGGGCCTGGAGGCTCTCGTGGTCCACCAGGAGATGGATGGAATCCACGATTCCAGCCTAGTGGTTATGGAGGCTCTCAAGGTTATTCAAAAACATCAGCATTCATTTACGCTATAGTTGCAGAATATAGCTCTTCGGCTCTTCCAAAAATATCCGTAGCTCACACATTTGAAATTTTAGGGATGAACGGATTTGGTCGATCGCGAGGCCGCGGATACTACGACTCCGACGAGTGGTATGACAAGCGTGGTCAGGGAGGATACAGAGGTTGACTGTTAAGCAAGTAATAATGTTCAACCTGGAAAAAATTCTTAGGCAGCACTTCAGGAGGACCGTACCCCAGTTCCGAAGAGTTTTTCTTCAGTTTCAAGTGAAGCAGCAGCTAACTTGGAGATGTGGTGTCCGAATGTTTGCAATAATGCCTTGTAAAATTCTTTTGCCCCATTGCTATTTTTATTATTGCCTTTTTCCTATTTTATTTGGAAAATAAAGAGATTGCAGCTTCAGTGCACGGCTTCCTAAGCATTCAAACAGTGAGAGTTCTTTCTTCCCTGAACTGTTCAATAATAGGTACCCTGATTTCCGGTAGATAAGCCCGCGCCAGTATCACGTAAAAACACCTCCGCTGGTGCAGTGCACTTGCGTACATCTAGAGACAACCGTAACTTGCCCATAGGGTAATTCGATATGCTGATTACGAAAACGACATTCATTTTTAGCGGTGGCGCCATCTGGCGCCAGTTGGCGTCACCTTGTCACGACCCTTGTTTTCACCAAAATCGGTGTAAACTTCTGTATAGGGGTTATTTGGTGCCCTGATTACGAATATGACATTCGTTTTTGGCATTAACGTTGTTCAACGCATATTTCTCGGTTGGAGAGCGCAGACGAGCAGAAAATAGGCGCCAAATAGCGCCAGCGCCGAGAATGAATGTCATATTCGTAATCAGGACACCAAATAACCCCTATACGGAAGTTTACACCGAATTTGGTGAAAACAGGTCGTGACAAGGTGACGCCAACTGGCGCCAGATGGCGCCACCGCTAAAAATGAAAGTCATTTTCGTAATCAGGGCATCGAATTACCTCTATAGGCAAATTTGCGGTAGTTTCTAAGGTGTACAAAATTACACTGCACGAGCGGAGGTGTTTTACGTGATATCGGCGAGGGCTTATCACCGGAAATTCAGGGTAATCAAAACCTTAGCCTGTGAGTAGCACCTCGGGATGCCGTGCCATCTCAAAGGGTTCTCGTTCTCTCAAGGCGCTCCAACTCTCCATGGTCCTTTCGTGGATATCCGACTTGATTGAAAGATCAAGTGATAAGAGCGCAAACCCCAACATGCTAGCCAGCTCACATCACTGCAAACATTTTCATGTTTCCCACGAGATTTTTTTCAATGAGTTCTGGAGAATATGGAAAGTTGAGTGCACCTTTCCATGTTTTGCCCTTCAAGGAGTGTTTTTTTTCCAAATGTTGCCCACACAACAATACTCTTTTACAGCTGCTGTTTTCAAGTTATAGGAGGATTCCGCCTATAGTTTGACTCCCTAATTGCGTAAGGAAGACGAGCGGACGGAATCTTCCACGGAAAAAGCTCCGCCCTCATTACCACAGAAAACGATACCTTAAAGGAATCTTCCACGGAAAGAGTGATCATTTTGTCTTGTGTGTAGGATTAGTATTATCGAAACTAACGCTTATGTTCCGTTCTTTTTGCTATGCTCATGAGGCTAGGGGCCTAAGGGGTATCGTTTTTAGGGTAATGGAGGCGGAGCTTTTTCCGCGGAAGATTCCTTTAAGTCCGGCAATGAACCACGTAAT